TATATATATATATATATATATATATATATATATATATATATATAAACGGCACCTTTTATATCTGTGAGTTATTTTGATGGAATGCTCGATGTCCAATATTTAACTTTATTGCTAATATCAGCCGATACCATGCTGATAATATTGTGCATCCCTAGTTCTGCCCAATGGTAAATGGATTGCACTTATAGAGCACCTTTCAATCACACAGTAGTTGATGCAAACCCCTGAGGGAAGAGGTTCTGCTCAGACCTTGTGTTAAGAATAATCTTTTAGGAGAATAAAACAACATAATTTTCGTTGGTCAGTGACGTAAGCGAGATCGGGTTTCTTTACTACTCATATGAATTCTGCATAAGTATCTATTTGTCATAGACAAATTTGTCTTTTTCCTTATCTGTCTTCAGTTGTTTTGGCTTTAATGTATATAATTATTGAATGAAACCTTTATTAAAATCTAGAAAAAATAAGCTTTTAATGTGAAAATGGATTGTTTGTTTTGAGCTGAATGACTTCTAAAATTCGCAAAATAAGCAGAAACCGAGTTGTTAAAATTTAAAGAACTAGAACACTAGAAAAATCTGAAAAAGCGACATGCTAGCTAAAAGGCCAAACGTGCAATACACTAGATAAAAATAACACTAGCTAATTTTTAAAGCAACAAACAACTAACTAAAATTAGCAAAAGCTAGATTAAAAACATTAAAAGGCTAACTTTTTCATTTACCCTTTATTTATACAGGTAGTCTCATGGAGTCACAAGAACTCATTTTCAAGAGAGACCTGTTTGGGAGCAGATGGTGGGGGTTAAGGGCCTTGCTCAGGGGCCCAGAGTGGGACAAATGAAGGTGGAGGCAGGTGTGGGTGTTTCACCTTTTCCCCCCACATTTCAGTCTGGGGAGTTGAATCTGCGACTTTCCAATCACAGGCCCATATTCTCTAACCTCTGCACCACCACTCCCCAACTAAAAGCTAAAAGTATCAAATGCAAGCAAAAAATTGGTATTATGATAAAAAAATCAAGTTGAGCATTTTGAAATGTATAAGATTCTCATGCCATCTTTCATTATATGACGTGTTAGTGTTGGTGTTTTCATAGAGACTGAGCTGAATGCTTTTATGTCTGAATGGCTAAAATTATACAAAGTATCCAAATGTGGTCAGATTGCCCCAAAAATACTGGAACAAAAGAGTGAATGCTGCCTAAAAGTTTATTTATTTGTCTACGTTTATATTTTTGTAGCTGAATATGTCTATTGGGTGCGGCACGGTGGTGCAGTTCGTAGAGCTGCCACCTCTCAACGAGAAGGTTCGCTGGATCAAATCCCAGCTGGTGGCCTTTCTGAGTGGAGTTTGCATGTTCTCTCTGTGCATGTGTGGGTTTTCTCCAGGTACTCCAGTTTCTTCCCACAAACTAAACTAAAAACATGCATGTTAGACTGTTTGGTAACTCTAAATTGTCTCTAGGTGTGAGAGAGAGAGAGTGAATGGTTGTCTCATTTGTCTTTATGTGTCCCTGTGATGGACTGAGACCCGTCCAGAGTGTCCCCCGCCTCTCACACAGTGATGGCTGGACATGGGCACCAGTGACCCCTGTGACCCAAAAAGGAAGAAGCAGGTAAAGACAACGGATGGATGAATACGTGTATTGGCTGAAAGTTGTTGGGGTTCAGGTCTCTGAGAAACAGCAGCTTAACTTTAACCCTTACAGTCAAATCTATAGACGTCCCCTCCAGTACCAGACCTTTCTGTGTCTGCCCTGTAAGAAACTATTAAAAGCAGATTATCCTCTACATTTATTTCTTACTTGAACTTTATTTTCATGTCCATTTCAGGCTCGCAACATCAAGACATCTGAACTGGCAGCTATCAAGATCGTCAGGTTGGACCCTGGTAAGAGACCGAACAGGCCACGGCATGCGTACAGCTCATTATTTGAACATTTAGGCTGTTTTCCTTCTGCTTCTGTTCTGAAGGGGAAGATAAATGTGTCCGTCCAGCTGGTCATTTGAATGTTGTTGACTCCAAATGTTATTCACGTGATGTTCATCATCATTTCTAAGAGTCTCACTAAAATTCATTCTCTGGTTCACATGAGGTATTTTATCAGCCAAACAAACATGCACACGCAGCTATGAGCTAAAACATTATCGCCCTTTTCAGCTTTGTGATAGGTTAGCTTAACTATACAACACCAAATTACCTTTTTATTAATTTTTTTATTTTTAAATCAAATAAACATTAAAGAATTTTTACTACTTTTGACTAGTTTTTTTAAACACTCAAGTTTTTATTATGTTCTATTTAGAAAACAGTAGAATTCAAGAATCAAGGAAACTTTGTTGTCATTCTCATCACATGTGATACATGAGGTGGAACAAAATTGTGTACTAAAGGTCCCACTTACATCCAAAAATAGCAAAAATATAAAGTATAAAAAGAAACAATATACAAGGATCTAAGATGTACACTAAACAATAATAATATAAGGTGTGTGTATAGTTGTGCTTGAAAGTTTGTGAACTCTTTTGAATTTTCTATATTTTTTCATAAATTTGACCTAAAACATCATCAGATTTTCCCACAAGTCCTACCAGTAGATAAAGAGAACCCAGTTAAACAAAAGTGACAAAAATATTATACTTGGTCATTTATTTATTGAGGAAAATGATCCAATATTATATATTTGTGATGGTGAAAGTATGTGAACCTCTAGGATTATCAGTTAATCTGAAGGTGAAATTAGAGTCAGGTGTTTTCAATCAATGGATGATGATCAGGTGTGAGTTTCACCCTGTTTGATTTAAAGAACAGGATCTATCAGAGTCTGTTCTTCACAACATGTTTGTGGAAGTGGATCATGGAGGAACAAAGAAGATTTCTGAGGAGCTCAGAAAAAGAGTTGTTGATGCTCATCAGTGTAGTGAACTCGGCCTCCGGTCAAAACCTGCCTCTGAAGACCTTCATGGGACAGGAACTGTTATTTCATTGATTTGAATCCAGAAATACAAATTAGCTCATCCAGAGACTTCCTAATTGTATCCTGAACTAATCAATTGAAAAAACACTCTCTTTTTCATATTATCATTACTATTTTACAATGTCTTGATAATCAAAAGTGTGTTTAGTTCATATCATTTTAAATGTTGAAATGAACCACTCATTTTAAATCAACTGTGAAACAGTATTAATGATTTTTAATCCTCATTCAAAGTAGAAATCAAGTTAAATGTCTGTTACAAAGTAATTATGCATTTTTTGATCTTCTGTCTGAAATGAGAAAGGTGTGATGTCGGTCAAAAGTCGGAGACAGTCGCAAACAAGTTTATTGGAACGAACTGTCATGTTTTTAAACCTCTCAGACAGAAACAAGAAAGCTGGCACTTGTGAGTCTGTCATTTCCCCAAAACATTTCTCTGTCTGTTCCTAAACATCTTCGCTGTTTTTCTGACTTGTAGTGACCCTCTGACGTCACTAAAACCACACCCCTGTTGGTTCTTTCAACCAATCAGGACTTCCCAAAAGTGACCGGAAGCAGAACTCTTTAAAAGTCGACACTTCCTAGTTCCAGTCAGTTCTGGGAGCACAGGAGAACAAAAGTTCTGGGGGAAGAACAGAAGTTCCGAGAGAGAACAGAAGTTCTGAGTTCCTCTGAGTCTTCTCAGAGTCCCGTTAGTTCTTCTGGTTCTGATGGAGTTCGGCTGGAGTTCCTGTCGGAGCCACGACGCCTCGCTGTGGCTCCACCCGGCTAATGCCCTATAACTACTGAGGAAGTTTGCTCTGTGGAACGGATTATCTCACGACTTCTGCCGAGTCGCAGCCGCCCTGAGGAGACACTGAAAGGTAGCGTGCCAGGGACCTCTTGACCGTAGCTGACTCATCCTCTGCCAAGGTAAAGAGTCGTCACGAGCTTCACTACCAGTGTACCGCGGGCGAACTGCGCTTGAAAGGAGCGTGTTGTCCTGGTTTACAGACATACATCCTCATCCATCTTTTCTCTCCATTCAAGCTCCTTCATTTCCCATCTTTAAAACTCTTCTATCTCTGCCAGTAAAAAGATAAGCTAAAAGTCTGCAGACATTAATTTAAGATCTAAGGAAATGTCTGTTGTTTTTATTAAGTAAAACGTGCCAAGTTTTATTAATCAGAGCCGATCAGAATAATCAAGTGTACAATGTTTTGATGTTAAATTTTGATTCTGTTAATAAATGACCACATTCATTTTGATGGGTCAAAGAAAATTAACGTCTCATGTCACTGATTAGACCATCTCCAACACAGTACCTCTGTCACATATTTGTCAAGTAGCTCGAAAAAGAGAGAACCCGTTATTAAATATTGATTGTAGTGGAGCTCTTAAGCTAACCTAACCCTACATCACTACATCAGGCTGGAAAATGTTACAAAACATCTGTAAAGAGTTTGGACTCCACCAATCCACAGTCAGACAGATTGTGGACAAATGGAGGAACATCAAGACCATGGTCATGCAGCAACACAATGACTCTGAGCACATAGTGTAGTGTGTCAAGGTCAGCTTTGCTGTACCTTCACTACTAATTATTTAAATATAACGGGTTCTTTCTTTTTCGATTTAAATTAATGCCATGTGACGAGGTAACTGTGAGGATTGTTTAATCGGTGACAAGAGACGTTAATTTAACTTTGACCCATCAGAATAAATGTGGTCATTTATTTAACAGAATCAAAATTTAACATCAAAACATGTACATGTGATTAGCTGATCGGGTTCGGATTAATAAAACTTGGCACGCTTTACTAATAAGACAACAACATTTCTGAAGGCATCTAGATTACTGGCAAAATAGAAGAGTTTAAAGGAAGGATGGGTGAAGAGAAAAGATGGGTGAAGGGAGGTGTCTGTTTGGACCAGGATGGCATGCTTCTTCCAACACCAGCTCAAACCTCCGGTAAACTTAGCACGTCATGACTCGTTACCTTCGCAGGAGATAAATCAGCTCCGGTGTCGGGTCCATTTCAACGCTACCTTCCAGCGTCTCCGATAAGAGCGGCTGGCCATTGTCCGAAGTCGTGTCGATTTACTCCGTTCAACAAACAGGCTCAGCTCCCTTCGAAGTTGGAGGCGTTACACCCGGTGGATTCACAGCAAGCATCTGTGAGTCCGTCAGAGATCCCACTCAGGAGTGGAAGACTCCACAAGGCTTGAGAAGATTCCATCAAAGACTGAGTTCAACTCAGATCCAAGACTTCAGAAGACGGACTAGACTCCAGAAGATCTTTCTGCCTGCCAATTTATGTGCTACCGCCTTAATTTGAAATAAAGTTTTGTTTAGGACAATATTGGTGAAACGTCTTCTTACCATAGCAATCTTTGGTGGAATTCCTCCAAAATCCAATTCAGCAAGAAGCAAATTTCCCCATTCACACTTGAATGCGGGCCGTCTCTGGTTCTTACAGCTGGTCTGAATTTGAAGAATAGGGTTTAGGCATATAATCCGGGCTGAAAGGAAGAAAAATAACTCCAAACAAAGCTTATTCCAATGGATTTGCCCCTGTTCTCCTTGCAGCTAGAGCCGTCCAAAAACTTGTCCTATATTCCACATGCGTCCATGGCCCAAACAGTCCTGTTTGTTACATCCACATGAGTCTTTGGTCCCCAATAGCAGTGGTTACACAGAGTCATCTGTATTTATAGGGTGAGGTTTTGACTGACACTCCCAAAAAGATCATGCCATCGGTACAAATCCAACCCTTTTTTGGGCTGGGCTTAGTTCCGATTTCCATGCATGTCTATGAGAATTTACCATATCATTCCTCATATATATTAAAATCTGGGTGTAACTCATTAGAATATGCCTGAGTCATTCTGAGTTGCGTTTTTCTGACTTGCTCAGAGCTGTTTTCCAAGGCCTTGTCATTGCAAAATATTTCTGCATTATACTTTTGTATAACTCTTTCACTCATAAAATACTTCTGAAAACATTTCTGAGAACACAGTGTTTTTTTCCCTAAATTTCCAACATCATGAACAGAATACACTTTTAAATCACAAAGATTATAGTATCACTTGATTATTTACTTGTTTTTTGATTATAGTAAACAAATAATTTTTATTTAGCTGAAAACTGACAATTTTATTAAAAAGAAAAGTCTTCTTCTCCTTCTCCTCAGCGCCTTCCTCTGTCTGCGTGTGTGTCCTAGCATGACTGCATGTGTGTGCGTGAATGTGTGTTTATGCAGTGTGTGAATGTGTGAATGCATATCTCTTCGTGTGTGTGTATATGCTTGTGTGTTTGTGTAGTGTATAAGAGTGTAAGTGTATGTGTTTCTTCAGCATATGGTTTCCATCATCTCAGACTTCGAGGCCTTTCCACCTGGGCCTTGAAACGAGACATGCCGAGACATGTCCATCTCGGGAACAGGCTGGTCTCCATTCAGCGGTCTCCTCGACACTATATTCTGATTTACTTCATTTTGTATATTGCTTTGTGTGTTGCCTGTTGTTCTGTCTGTATAGCACTTTGGTTGGCCTTGTCGCTGTTTTAAGTGCTCTATAAATAAAATGGTATGGTATGTTTTTTTTTTAATTTTTTATTCCTGTTTTGTGGGTTTCATGAGCTGGAAGCCCAAATTATGTAAAAATAAACAAATAAATATTTGAAATTGTTTAAATTGTGGGCCCTGAATCTATCATCTATTAAAGATTAAATTTTTGAATGGAATTATGTAAGTTAAACAACTTTTCCATGATATTCTAATTTTTTGGAAAGGGTCTGTATTTTTAATAAAGAGAAGCATCTCAGTTTTTTCAGTCATGAGTTTATTATGTTCTAGCTTTCAGCTTGTTATGGGCATTATATCTCAGCATCACGTGCACCTTGTCTTTTGGAATGCTCTGTAAGTTTCATGAGTGACATATGGAGCTCAGACGTCAGTGTTGATGCTGAGTTTAACAGCTCACTGGATGGATGCAGATGCTCTACTTCATACAGCAGGAGATTTCTGAGGAGTCGATGGATGTGAGAGTGCACGGTCTGGTGCAGCGCCGTAATACAGAGAGAGTTGCGACACTCTTTGAACTAGCCGATACGCGGTCACGTGTTTCATGTAACTCTCAATAGTTCCAGACATCTCATCGCTCTGTCAGTTTGAGCGGCTACTGGTGCAACATGACGCAAAAACCGGAAAAACCTGTCATGTTGGCAAAGAGCTAGCTGCAGTTACAATACAACTAGGAAGTGAATGTGCTCAATGGGATTAACCTGTCTAAAAATCGGTTGAATGAAAATTAACTAAAACTGGTGACATAAAGTATTAATGTTGATAAATTGTGGTACAGAACAGTCAGCTAACGCTTCACAATGGCAAAAAGTGTTGTATTTTCATCAACTTACCAAAGAAAACACGGAGAATGAATGTTCAATACAGGACCCGCTGCTGTTTGGGACTATTTGCTGCTGCATGACCCACGTGACTTCCGCATTCCATTCTTTCTATGGGAGTCTATGGGAGTGTCGCAACTCTTTCTATACGGCGCTGGTCTGGTGGAGCTCTGGCAGGGTTACGTCTGTGAAATGTTACGTCCTGGCAGCACGTAGCGGGGCTCCAAGTGAGAGAGCAGTCGGCAGAACCCGTTGTTTTCCACCACTGGGCTGGTCATGTAGCTCGATGAATTCCATTTTCGAGTAATTTGTTTATCCTTCTGACGGTCATGCTCATACAGTCGAGTGTTGCCATTAAGTGTGGCCTGCGTTAACTGCTGTCTGACTGTTGCTGCTCCGGGTGTCTCCTCTGCACTGAGCCTCCAAAACTCACAGCACTCCAATTGTTTGTTCTTTAAATGTCGTATTGAGTTTATGTTGGATTTTAACGCGATTCCTCCGTGAGGTATTTTTGTCGTTGCATGTGTTGCAGGATGCAAACTTTACATCACTCTCACAGACGGTGTCAAATATCAATTTTCATGCTCAGTAATCCAGGTTGAACCACGTTGGCTGTGGCTGCCTGGGAGGAGTCAACAGGGGGAGGGGGAGGGTGGCCCCCAGAAACCATCTTATCACCAGCAAACTGGTTGGTCCACTATGGGAGTGTGCTGCATGTGGGACACAGTTTGTTTGTGGCTCCTCAGACTGATGAAGTCCTTTGGATGAAGGACGAAACGTCTCATCAAAAGACTGTCCAGAGGACCTGACTGAACTTTGTTGGAACAGTGTAAAAGTTCCACACGGCAGACATGTTTGTTTATGATTTTCTGCTGCGCACCTGCACAGTGTGAAGGAGTGGGGGTCATCACACGGCCCGCTGAACCTCTGCAACATCACACGGCCCGCTGAACCTCTGCAAAGGTGGTGGGATTTTGTGATCGGCACTGAAAGGCATTGATCGGTAAACCGAGATCACTTAATTTTCACGTAAATCGACCAATAATGATTGGTGGCCGATCAATCGGAAGACCATTAGTACAGACATTTCAGAATAATAATTATAAATACAGGAAAAAAAAAGAAACTATAAGTTAATGGCTGCGTTTAGGCCAGCAGAGAAGACTTTGCTGGCCCCCACAGTCCTCCACTGGTGTAATAGTTTGTCAACGAGTGCAAAATGTGCAGAATGTGGTCTTGTTACCCATATATGTGTGTGTGTGTGTGTGTGTGTGTGTGTGTGTGTGTGTGTGTGTGT